GAAACTGAGTGAAAATAGAAATGACGTTTTTGATAAGAACTGGCACATTGCCAGTTTATCAATTTAGCCAAATTTTGTACTGCTTTTTTTTTCTTTCTCTTTTTTAATTATAATTATAATTATGACAATTATTATGTATTATAATTATCATAATTATTACAATTATTACGTTGTATATAGAATACTTTTTAGAAAATAAAAATTTTATATCGTATACAAGTAAACCTGTGTTGTGTGTAGGTTTTTCATTATACTTTAACGAGTTTAAATAAAAAATGAATTTCTTTTTATAGCTGTGTACGCGAACTAAAGCCTCTTGGTAGTATGTTGGTAGTAAGAAAGAAAGCAGGGTGCGTCATCGAGGGGAATAAATAAACCGTGACATCGAGAAAATGAGAGCGGAGCGAGTACGCTAGATACTCTCAATTTGCTCGATCAACTGGAGAAAATAGATATCGTTTCGTGTTTTCATCGTTTGATGAAATTTTTATATTTTTACCAACATTATTTTTAACGAATACAAAAGAAAATCGACATTATTATTATTATTATTATTATTAATTAACGCGTGATTATTAAATTGAATTTATATTTTTGCAGGCTTCGACGATCGATGGTCGCAGGAAGGGTGCGTGTCTCTTCTGCCAGGAGTACTTTATGGACTTGTATCTTCTTGCCGAATTGAAAACAATCTCTCTAAAAGTGACCACGGTCGACATGCAAAAACCGCCGCCCGATTTCCGCACCAACTTTCAGGCAACACCTCCGCCGATCTTAATCGACAATGGCGATGCGATATTAGAAAACGAGAAAATCGAACGACATATTATGAAAAACATTCCTGGTGGACATAATCTCTTCGTGCAGGATAAAGAAGTGGCTACCCTTGTTGAGAACTTGTTCAGTGTATGTTTGAGTCAATGCTTTGCCAAAGAAACTGCAAAACTACTTTCTCGCCAAGAGCAATCGCTGTACGTGAACGATTTTTGTTCTAGAAATTGAAACTGTTACTGTTGAACGCAAAGGACAAGGATAAAGATCCAAAATCTTCGTCCCTGATGGCACATTTACGTAAAATCGACGAGCATCTAGGTCGTAAGGGCACTCGTTTCCTCACAGGCGATACAATGTGCTGTTTCGACTGTGAGCTTATGCCACGACTTCAACACATCAGGGTGGCCGGCAAATACTTTGCGGACTTTGAGATCCCTGAAACTCTGGTGCATCTCTGGCGATATATGCACCATATGTACAGGCTGGATGCCTTTTTACAAAGTTGTCCGGCCGATCAGGATATTATTAATCACTATAAATTACAGCAGGTTGAACAAATTTAAAGAGACCAGAATTTTTTTTTTTTTTTCTTACTTTTTCTTTTACTCGTCATTCAATTTATATCACTTCATTGAAATTGTATTATTGGATATTTCAGAGCATGAAAATGAAAAAGCACGAAGAACTGGAGACTCCGACATTCACAACCAGTATCCCGATCGAGGTCAACGACGACTAGGCTGGACCTCTGCCGTCGGGTCTACGATCTCGTTACTCTGACGTAGAAAAAGTCCTCGACATCGGTGTAGACATAAGCAGTGTGAACACACGTGGCACGCAAAATTACGTTTTTTTTTTTTTTTTCTTCCAAGGAAAATGATTCCGCAGGAAGAGTCCACTATTTATCAAAAGTTAATGAAGTTTTTTCTTCTAGAAAAAAAAAAAGGTTCTATCATCTAGATTTGATATATAGATGTGCCGATTCGGCTACACCGATTTATATATAAATTTTTGCTACGTATATTTTGACAAATTATCGTCGACTCTTTTATGGCCTAAACTGATGCAGAACAGAAGTAGCTTTTTTACCGCAGAAAACAGTAGAAGATACATATATGAGTGTATTAAGGCTTTCGAGAAACGATCTGTAAGCGTATCCAGAAAATTTGAACGATTTTTTCCTTTCCTTTCTTTCCATTTTCTTTATCTTTTTTTCTCTGGTACGTATGTACTTCGTACGTAATATTCATACGAATAGCATTATTTTTAGAAAAAGTATTTTAATGTTTTACGTATACTTTAGATCAAAGCTAACGTATTTTTTTTTCTCTCTCTCTCTTTTTAAAGTATTTCAATATTTTTGATGGCGCGTAATGTTAACACAAGTAGAAAATACGAGAGAGACGTATGCATTTGAATTACGATTAATACTTTGTTTTTAAATTAATATATCTCGTATATATTATTTCTTTATCATTTTTCTCTTATTTTCTGGAAACTGCATTGTATTTATCATACATCTAACGACTAATCAATAAACTGAGTTAATTGATGGTTAATTCTTTAACATTAACGTTTACGTTATATTCCTTCAGCATATCAACCTCAATTTGAATATAAGAAGAGGTATTCTAGTCTCATATTATAATTCAGTCAGTAATGATAAACTTCGTATTCTTTCGTATATTCAAAATATTATTTTTTTTTTATATATATATATATAATATAATATTTGAATAAATTATAGTGCATACGTTTCTTCCAATTTCTACGCTACAGTCAGTCGAAAGATCCAAAAATATGAAGAATTTGTGACATTTGTGGATATTATAAATTTCCTTGCAGATATTAATCTCGTAATGATAAAAAAAATCGTTATATGAAAACAGCCAGTGCTTACTTTTCATTCAATATTATTCAGAAATCTAACAAAATTCGGTATTTTATATTAGTTATTGTATTATTATTACTATTATATTGTAAATCGTTATTATAACTATTATATATATTGTACTATTTTGGTTTATACTTGTAGAAACGAATATATCAATATTTACATTGACTTTTAAGTTTATAGGTATTTTTTTTTATCTTATTCTATTTCGAACGAAAAATTTGGAAAATATATTTTCTACATCACGATAGAATAGAATTTTCTAAAAATGAAAAGGAATATGTCTATCTTAACGACGTTGCTATCTATTCGTATAAGTTTTAAAATAGCATACTGCTTCCCTTTCCTTGAGACTGATACTGATTATTACGACGTGTCTTCCATTCATAAATAGGGAAGCACTTGTCGTATGAGCGGCCATTTTGACTACGCAATCGATAAAACTTCTTTTATTTTGATATTTAAAAATACAAACTTTCGTATGAATGTTCGAAAATGAATAAATAATAAATTAAATTAAAATATTTGAAGTATATAGAAATATTTTCGCTAAATAAAAAACATTTGAATGCATATAGTTTTTCAATCGATTAATGTCGTTTCAGTACGCAGTGCACAGCTGATCAGTGGTCCCAACGGACGGTCGCCGCTTGTTCGTGTCTTAAAATCTTCGAAAACGACTGAAAAGTTACTATTATCCGCGTGTCTGTACAGTGACAATTGAATTTTCACTTTTAAATACGTGAATAGAATTGCGGCATTTACAAAGTGTTTTTATCAAGTGTTCGAAGTGAACGATTACTTGTTTCTCGTTCGTTGGACATTTCCAATGGTTGCCGTCCGGTGAGTTTCAAGCTTGCGATTTGAAATTGATGATATACATTAAAGTAATACAATTCAAATTTAATTTGACTTTTCGAAGTTCTTTATTCTTCAATTTTCACAATATCAATACACGAAAAAAAGTATAAAATCCACGAGAATGGAAACGGAAGTATATAATTTAATTTTTAACTTAGTTTGTTCCATGCAATGAAATATATTATATTGTATCGAGTATTATGATATATTAACAATAATATATTCGTATGGATTGATTTCATTGATAAGTAGATGATATATCGAATATTCGTCTTATTCAGTTTTTACTTTTATTCCGGTTTTCTAATTGACGGAAGCATTGATTTTCAAATATACCATAATAACTTTGAGACAAATGTCAATCTTTTTATTGATGATTGATGATGAATTTTCGTATATATTATTGTTTTTTTTTATTTACATACATTTGTTATCAAAGTATGCGTAACTTAATCTTTCTTTGTCGTTTGTTAAACAAGGAAATATCGTTGTTCTTTTTTTAATAAGCTTTCTAGGTATACAGGTATTTTCAAAAGTAAAGGATCGTTATAATTTTATTTTTTTCGAGCGTATCACAAACGTAAGAGGAACCAGGTCAATTGATCTTGTGAATTCTAATCTTCATCAACGATTTTAGTTCACTGTTCTGACATTCGATTTAAAAACTATAACAGTAATAGTAAGTCGGTTAAAAAAAGTCTCGTTTTGAACGAGAAGTCATTGGAAAAGTAAACACTTTACTTTAATATCTAATACGTATCGTAACAACAAAGATAATATTTATTTACACAAGCTTAATGTTTGCTTCAAGTTATGTAACTATTTTTTTTAATAACTACGATATTTTGTAATTTTTGATATAATTAATCGGTGTTAATTCTTTAGCAATTATCCTGATTACCGGACTTTCAATCGGAAGATCGAAATTTAAATTTTTTGGCACATGTGGAAACGGAATTTAAAGGTCAACGATATTTATAATAGCGTGAAAAAGCTGTTTAGCAGTTAATAAACAAGTTTTACGGATGTATGCAAATTATCGAAATCGTAAAGAACTAACGTCATATCGGGCATATCTAATATGTGTGTGTATATATATATATATATATACGCATAAAGCCGCGTTCACACCGTTAATTGTAATTATCATCCAGTGTTATCGATCGGCCTAAATTATAAATCTACAACAACGATATCGGATAAATTACTTCAGCGAGTTGGATGAAAAAACAAACGAGTTGCAAGAAAAAGACTCGAAGCTAGTGATCAATATTCGAAAGGTTAATGTAATGGTTAACGCTGACGTTTTCTACGTGAAAAAAAGTATAATATTATTTTCAGGATAGTGTTTATTTTTACCTCGAGGCGTAACTTATCGTAGCTCTGCTTAACGTTAGCGTTGCGTCCCCCCGTCAATTATTATTCTTGGTTCCTTATTTTTGTCTGCCACTAAGCTCGACGCACTTTTTTTCTCTTTTTTTTTTTTTTTTGCTCGTAGTAGTTTCAGTCGGCCATGATTACTCTGCTTTCATGCGGTTCTAAAATATTGCGCGTAAAACGACAAGTTATTGGCAAGCTCGATAATTTGCATATCTCGTTCTCGTGACTGGAAATGTAAATAATTGCGCGAGAACGAGAGATATGTCGGCTCTTTTCTGTGAATAAAACCAATTATCGTTATTAACCTTTAAACCTTTAAAGATTTTTCTGATATTTTTAACGTGCATTTATATAGTCGCGCGTGTTACTTCCGTCTGATGGATATGCGGCTTTATGAAGCAACAGGTGTCAACTCAACTTTGCATAGAATAATTTTCTATAGTTTGTACGCTTGATATCATCATCAAGTTAAAAAAAAAAAAAAGAAAAAAAATGTACACATATATATAAAATTACAATTTCTTTATTTCTGTATTCCTCGTTGGCCAGATTTTTTTTATTGATTTATACATTGTCATTTTAGGGCGGAAACGATTCGTTTGGCAGTGTGACATTTGTGCAGAGATATTGGAACATTTACGAACAAATTACGGAAAAACGGGAGTAAAGGATATATATATATATATATAAAAAGAAACACTGGAAAAATTATTCCAAATGCGTGAAAATACTCGTGGAATTTGCTTTTCCCTGCATTGCCAGGAGTAGACGAAAACAGCCACGCTGTGTCTCCTGGGTATTTCATGACACAAATATCTTCCCGGCATGTTGGAATTCCGCTTTTCCTTTTTCGCCTGTCCCGACGAACGACGTTCTCGTTCCCCCTCTTAAAATCCCCCTCTGTGTCACTGATAGAAACATCCTGCGTGTCTGGTGCAATTAAAAGATGCTTCTCCTTCGCTCTCGGGCCAAGGGAAAAATATATATTCGTTCCGCTCCCCGATCGAAACGGCACCGCGACACTGTCCATCGCTTCGAGTCCCGCTTCATAAGAATAAACGTATAAATGTCACGTCACGTTGGTTGGTCGAGGGAAAAGTCGCATGTATTCTCGCGTTGACGAGGATTTCCCGTTTGGCAAAGGGAAGCGCGCTAGAGAGAGAGAGAGAGAGAGAGAGCACAATCGGAACGAATTCGATTCACTGTCGCATTTCCGCAGTTCGGGTACCTGCCCACTCGCGTTTATTTGCATTTTCGTCATTTGCGTGTCGAACCGACCGACCGACTGTCTGGCAAACGTTGCCGGTCACAAACTCGGCAAAAACGGCGTGACAGATACAAAGTGACGGGAGTGTAACTTTGTAACTCTAACTTTATTCTAACGATCTTCTTCAACAGGAATAATAATGTATATTTGTATAAGGAGAGGAGCGAGTAGGAAAATCTTGCGACTCGGATTTTTTTTTTTTTGTTTCAACGTTCGTTTGCCCGATTCGGAACACGATTAGAAGAAAGCCGCGGTTGAGAAAGTAAGCGGTGTTCAAAAGAAGATACTCCGATTAGGGCGAACGCTCTCTCGAATCGGAGGCTTGAATGCACGGCCGCGTGCCAATAAACAGTTTTCTCTCTGATTGATGCTTCGCTCACCTGACACATGCCAGGTGCTAGGCAACGGAAGAAAGAGAGTCGAATTATTAATTCTACCTAGGACTTTATTCTCTCACGTGGCTGGGTGCCAAGTGCGAATTGCACTCGCAAAGCTTCTAACCTCTTAGTTTCTTCCGATCGAGCGAACAACCCTCTCTCTACTCGCTTTTTCTGGATTTTCGGCACAGCCTTAACGCATCCACGATCGAAAATGCGTAGGAGTAGCTGCGAGTCGGACGGTACGTTGGTTTTCAAATCTTATGCTTTTAAAAACGATGATTTCCTCGCGAATTTCCTCGCGAATTTTCCTCCTCTTCGTTAATAATATTTCCTCCAATGTTTTTAACATCCAAATCTTACCGTCTTCTTTTTTTTCACGGTAGCTTTTAACATTTCTCTCTCTCTCTCTCTCTCTTTCTCTTTTCTTCTCTACTAAACTGTATCGTAATAATTTTTGCAATTTTGCAAAGGGAGTCGACGGTAAAAAGTTAAGAAGTTTTTTTCTTCTTTTCCTTTTTTTCGAGAAAAGAATCGATCGAGAATCCTAAATTTTTCGATGCAACGATGCGCTCACGCGGAGAGAGATAAGCGCATGCGTGCACGCGTGGGAGCGTGGCACGCGCAGTGCCGGCTAATTATGTGGCACTCCTACGTGCCACGCGGCACAGGTGTCCACCGTTTCTTTGCTCGCTGCCAATTCCGTAACGTAACGGGTGTCTTCGAGTTGTCGACTAGGTTCGAAATCCTGTTGAAACGCGAGACAACTTTTCCCTCGAAGCATCGGCTGTACAGAATTTTCGAAATTCGTATTTCGAAAATCGACAACGGATATATAACGAAGCGGATATATAATGTATATGACAGAAGTATATCGATGAAGAAGGATGATGATTGACAATCAACGATCAGCAAACACTGGCGAGAAAGGCAAGATTCGTTTCGTTGACGCATCTTGTAAATGGATTTCACGAACAGTAATGGATCCGAATGGCGGCGCATCGTGAAAAAAGGTGAAGAAATGCTCTCGTTCCTTCCCCCTCCCCCTCCCCCCTTTTCCTTATATTAGAGAGAACGAGGCGATTGTTGTCGCAAAATTTTAATTTAGAAGAAAGAAAAAGAAAAGAAAAAGAAAAAAAAAAAAAAACGAATGGAAGCGATGGTGAAACGAAGGATGATCGCGTGTTGAGAGAAAATGGAGTGCCAAACTCAGGGAGTCCCATCGTAGTACACGGGTCGAAGTTTGGTGTGGCCTTCGCTATAATTAAGAGGATTCAACGCACGATCATGCGTAATATTTCATCGCGTCTCCAACAAGTGAGGCGATTTGCCCCGGCAGGTTCCACGGTCTTTACCTTTTCATTTTCTCACAATTTTGTCTCCATTAATCGCATCCCCGTCCACTCATCCGTGGTTGAATAATTTGAAACACTTTCGCGCACTGACACGAAATTGCAAGAAACGTCGTATTTGGAGGGCATCCAAATCGTTTATCCACTAAACTACAAAATTTCCACGATCTTGCCGGATTCCACCTTCTCCCGGCCTCGTTTGTCTACAACGCCGTTACCGCCCGCCGGAAAATCCTTGGAAAATATCATCGATAACGATTTTTAACCCCCGTGCCGACATATTGTTCCCATTTTTTTTGGTTTTTTTTTTTCTCCCCATTATTTCGCGAATTGTTATTGCCGTGACCGATCAATCAGCCGTGGCCGTTCATTTCTTCGTTCGACGAAATATCATAGAAACATTGGTGTAACAAGAGACCTGGCACCCACAGGTAGGCCTTGCCAGGAGGATGGGGGCCCACGATGGGGGAGTGCCATTGCTCTAACATCGCTATCATGCAGCTGTTCCATGAGCTGAAGCAGCAGTTCCCTGCGCTCCCTGATCACGTCGTTTCCCAGTGCATCGCCCAGGTATAGGTGCTCTTTGTCCGCCAGTTATATCGCTCCTATATGCTGGTCTCCCGGAAACTTCGATCCATAAAATAAAAGGGGAGACGTAACAGAGATTTTTCGAAATTTCCTTTCCACGATCATTTAGCCGGAGCTATTCGGGTTGGATCGAATTTTCCAGGGAAGGGCTCCTTCTTGATTGCACCGTGTGCCTCAAGTTTAACCTCAGTTTAGAGAGATTTGTTCTTTTTCGCTGATCCAAGTCAATGCTAAAAAAAGAAACGAACAAATAAATAAATATAACGATGATCGTTATAACGACAACTAACCATACGCGCACCACATCACGAGTCTTCTTAATAACACTCCTGCATCGCAAATTAACAGGCAAATTAAATTTCCTCTCTCATTGCACGAGCGTGGAACCTGTGTGTATATAGACGTCCTTTGTGTTGACCATTTGGTTTTTCTCTAATTCCGCAATTTCGGGAAAAAAAAAATAAAAAATACATATATAGCGTCTCTTAATCAGCAAAGATTGACCGCACTAAACTAAAATAATTTCAATTCTGTTGTACTCGCGTATTTGGAGAAGTTGTGGGATTTCCAGTCGCTAAAAATCGCGCCCTGATCGCGATACGTTACGATAACGAAACGTTCGCTCGTCCAAACAAAACAAACGTGTGGAGAAGAGGACTGGACCAGGAAATCTCACAACTATCGCGCCGATGCCTTCCAACATTTAACCATTTGCGGTCTATCTTTCGCTGCAAACTCCAACAGACAAATTACTTTTGGTTGGAACCAAAGAGAAGAAACCAAACCCGTCGTTCGAACGAATTTCTGTGAGGGCCTAACGGACCGCAAACGGTTAACCGGCGTCAATCCTCTGATGGAGAGGAGGATAAAGTCGAAGAGTTTCGAGAGCAACAAGCGTTTAAGCTGGGATTCCCAGGAGAGAGGGACGTTTTCCAATCGGGAAAATAAGAGAGAGAGAGAGAGAGAGAGAAAAACCCTCCCCGATCGAGCTCGACACGGTGGAAATTGGCTGACCCAGTTGTGCATCTGTTCATTGCAGAACAGCCACGATCGGGAGACATGCGCGAGAAGTCTTCGTGCCACCCAAGAGTCACGACAGTCTCCGGGTGCGTTCCCACCGGCGGTACTTTGCGGCATCCTCCAGCAGCAACAGCATCATCAACGAGCGAACCACGTGGCTGCTGCGCAGCAGCAACGTTGCTGTTCGATGAATCAAGCGCAGCGCGGCACGAGCAACAACCCCACTACGAACAACAACACGCGGCCGCACAGGCCGGCATCACTGGACATCGGTATGGCGCGGCGTTGCCCTGTCGCCTGTACGCGAGCAGCTGCCTCCTCGCCGATCGCGGCTAACTCGTCCACCACCCCTTCCTCAGCGCCTGCCGTCTGCACGACACGCGGTTTCTTCGACGATTGCACAGGAGCCAGCGACTCGAATTGCCTTAACAAAGTCCAGAACGCGGGAAACGAGCCAGCCGGATTCGAGCTGAACGTGAACGTTGCCTGTAGCCCTGCTGGCAATCGCGGTACGCATCCACGCACCAGAGGTAGTTGATTATCCGAGATAGAAGTCGAGATGGACAATCGGAAAATGTCCATTGATGGTGTTGTTCGTTCAGGGCCTTATCTATGTACACATAGAGTCGAACAGCTTTCTCGATGATAAATTATATCTTATCTTTAGCGTGGAAATCAGTTAAATGTCAACAAAATGAATATTGAATTGTTTTATGGAGGAAGCTGTCCAGACATTAGACATTACTTTAGACATTAGACGTGCTTTTTCAACGATGACAGGTTGCAATTATTATAATTGCGATCGATAAGTTTGATCGATTACATTTGCGAGTGATTACGTTACTCGAATTGATTACGATCGTATATTCGAGGAAGAGAATTAAACAGGTTTTTTTTTTTTTTTTGCCACGTGCAACGATGACAGCATTTAAATTTCGATTTCGTCATAGTCTTTCGGAGTCTCTTGCGGTGGAGATCCTGTTTGCCTGTTAGTCGAAAGAGATCCGTTGTTGTACATACCGTCGACTTCTTTTGATATATAGTTATCTTCTCGTATCTTCGATCGTGTAATTTACACTCGAGCTCGTAACACAAGGAATATTTTTTTCTTTTTTATTCCGGCCAACAATTTAGACTTTCGAACGGTGCCTACGATTGGTGGTGCCTGTAAACGAAGCGATCCGCTCCTCGATCCACGGACTTATTATGCCGAGCCATTACTGAACGTGGTAAACACGGGGCCGCAGATCGATCACACGCGAAGCTACACCTCGGTTAGTCTGACGCTCAGGCCCCCGTCCTCGGAACCTCAACCTCCGATCGACATCAGATCGCAGGGCTCGAGTCTCACTTACTCGAGCTCTTCTCTAGATCCTCGGGGCTTTCAAAGTCGTCTACAGATCAGCATTGGCGCGGGAGCCGTTGGCACTGTGGCGGCCGCGAGAATCAGGCCACCGATGGGTCCCAACAGGCCCAACAGTTTGATACCGCCGGCACAGACCGGTCCTCAAAGACCACCAGGTATTATCTGTATTATCTTTCTGTTTTCATTTGTATTCTTCTTCTTCTTCTTCTTTTTCTTTTTTCAATTTTGTAAAAATAAAATACGTATACATGCTCTAAAGAGACATCGTCGAGCGTTTGACCGATCGAAAAAAACAATGTTGCAAGTTGCAGGTCTTCCAGCGGGACCACCCAGTCAATTGCCGAGGCCTACGACGACAATGAGCGCCCCAACTACACCTTCCGTACCATCGACAACGAACATCGTCCCTTCCATTAGCCTTCCAACGACTCCGTCAGGACCGACGACGACCTCGCCGCCCTCCAGTCCCATTGGTGAACGCGTGTCGACCAATTCTGATCAAAATCGATCGCCGTTGAATCAAGGTAAAGATCTTATATCTCATTATCTTATTATCTTTCTCTACTTTGAAAATAACCTTTTAGGCTATTTTTATTATTCACTCTATATATATATATATATATATATATATATATATGTATGTATGTATGTATGTATT